AAGCAAGGTGTGCTCTGATTGGCCAGCTATCCAGTGCGTTGTGATTGGCCGAATACCTCTAGTGTGTGACGGAAATGTTACGCCCCTCACCATACTGTGATGCCGTGTCCAGCCGGAGTGACGATTCAAAAACATTAAAACCCATTATAAACATCCAGTGGGGACATAATTACGGATTATAATGACTTATGCTGTCTTTTTACGCGTTGCATCGCGCCGGCATGAACATTAAACCATGTCTGCATTTGTGATCGGAGAAATGACAAACAATCTTCTTTATGCACCAAGAGCTTGTAACACTCCAAAGAGAAATGAAAAATTGAAATCGCATCATATGACCCCTTTAAATAGATGGAAATAAACCTCTTTTAGGTGTTATTAAAAATATCTCAATTTGTGTTCCAAAGATTAATCAAAGTCTCATGGGTTTAAATTGAAACAACATGAGAGGGAGTAAATGATGACAGAATTTTCATTTTTGGGTGAAAAATCCATTTAATGCTATGATATTAACAGAATTCAATTTTATTAAGCTTTTACATTCTCTTGAAATTTACCATTTCTTTTTTTTTTATTAATATGTATGCAAATTGATTTGATTAATTCATTTAAAAATGAGTAAAAACATCCATACAAAGCGATTTAATAGCCATTATTTTGTCTGCCTCTTATTTTAATTAGAACATGAAAAACAGTCACAATATTGTGTACTTGTATAGCCTGCAGCATTGTCTGTCTCAAGTTTCTGTTCTGTGACTTATTAAATGACTTAATCCAGTAATGTCTCATCTTCATGTGTCCTTGTGTAGTACATTTTTCCACATTCTTATTTACACATCTGGGTTTTTTAATCCATCAATGGAGTCTTTTGAATGGTTATAAGAAAATGGTTTATTGGTGTGCGACCTCACTGGAGGGCCTTCCAACAGCGAGTGTGACTCACAAAGCGTATTTAAAGGAGCATGTTGTCATAATGAATTTTTGTCTTGTGATGTATGCCCTCAATTTCTTTCTCATTCACAGATGGTTCAGACACTATACAACAATGGTGCTAATGCAATATGGGAGCACACTCTGCTGGACCCGTCATCCATCACGAGCGGCAAACGCAAACCCAATCCTCAGGATAAAGTCCAGTGAGTAATAAAAAACATCATAGGAAGGCGTTTATTTGGTATGCACTTCCATTCAAAACTTTGGGTCAGCAAAATACATATTTTTGAAATAAATCAATACTTTTATTCAGAAATGATGCATCAAATTGATCAAAAGTGACAGTGAAGTCATTTTTAATGTTACAAACGATTTCTGTTTCAAATAAATGCTGCTCTTTAATAATCTTAAAATTAACCTGGAAAAAATTGCACAAAAATATTAAGAAGCACAAATGTTTTAAACGTTGTTAATAATAAGAAATGTTTCTTGAGCAGAAAATCAGCATAATAGAATGATTTCTGAAGGATCATGTGACACTGAAGCCTGGAGTAATGATGCTGAAAATTCAGCGTTTCCTTCACATGAATAAATTTAATATTTCATAATGTTACGGTTTTCACTGTATTTTTAATTGAATTAATGGTGAGCATAAGAGAGTCTTTTCACAACCATTAAAAATTAACAACCCCAAACTTTTGAACGGTCATGTATACAAAAAGGGTCTGAAATACGCCAACTCCCCCAACTGTTAACTGGCTCTAATAACTCCATTATTTCTCTCACCCAAAAAGCCCTAACAAAACAGAGTTTGTAAAATCAAAGTATCAAATGCTGGCTTTCGTCCATCGTTTACCCTGTCGAGATGACGACACTACAGCAGCCGCTGATCTAAGCAAGGTAAGGAAAGAGCTACCTGTTTTTATAGTGTGAAAGTGAAGTGACGTGTGGCCAAGTATGGTGTCCCATACTCGGAATTTGTGCTCTGCATTTAACCCATCCAAGTGCACGCACACTTGGTGCACAGTAGTGAACACACACACACCTGGTGCAGTGGGCAGCCAATGCTGCGGCACCCGGGGAGTAGTTGGGGGTTCGGTGCCTCGTTCAGTCGTGGTTTCTCACCTCGCAGTGGTTATTCACTCCCCCCACCTACAATTCCTGCCGGACATGAGACTCGAACCCACGACCTTTGGGTTACAAGTCAGACTCTCTATTGCTTAGGCCACGACTATGAACATGCCCCACATTTATAGTTGATATTTCTGTTATTCAGTTCTTTCAAATACTTGATGCATTCATTATGGTAAATTTTTTCAGACTTGACATGCATTATTGTTCCTCTAGCACATCTAATACTCATCTGATGCAGCTGTCTTCTATCAGACTTGTTGAAATGTCTCTATTGATGTACATTGTATTTGATTCTTTAGCAACTTCACTCCAGCGTCAGAACCGGCAATCTTGAGACTTGTTTGCGGTTACTGTCGCTTGGGGCTCAAGCCAACTACTTCCACCCGGTAAAAACCTCTGATCTCACCTTAATGTTATTATATTCCGTTACATTAAAAATGCTTTCCTCATTTGTAATGGTTCTGCACTCCTTTGAACAGGAGAAAGGGAACACCCCGCTGCACATCGCAGCTAAAGCAGGCCAAGTGTGCCAGGCTGAGCTTCTCTGTGTTTATGGGGCAGACCCTGGTGCTCCTGACTCCAGCGGCAAAACGCCCATCCACTATGCAAGGTAATCAATAGCTAATGCATTAATGGTCAAAAGCCACTCGGCATTGAAATCTGCATTTATTGATTACTTCCTATATTGTCAATGTGGTGATTAAAAAGAATACTTGTCATAGATTTGTCACGTGGCCTTCACCGACAAATATCCATATTAAAGGGATAGTCCACCCAAAAATACAAATTCTGTCATTACTTACTCACCTTCATGTCGTTCCAAACCTGTATGGCTTTCTTTCTTCTGTGGAACACAAAGAAGATATTTTGAAGAGTATTGTGTTTTTTGGACAAAAAAAATACAATAGGAGCCGAAACTGTTTGGTTATCAACATTCTTACATTTTTTTTTTATGCCATAAAAAAAAATTATACTGGTTTGGAAAGACATGAGGGTAAGTAAATGATGACAGAATTTTCATTTTCAAGTGAACTATTGCTTTAAGTCCATGGCAGTGTTATTTTAGTATTATTTATATACTAGAATAAAATTGATCAGTATGTGAAATTATTTTTATATTTTCAGCTTTATTTCAAAAATATAGTTCTGCTAATTTTGTTAGTTTATTTTTAGTACTTCAACTGAAACTTGCCAAGGAAATATTTATAATTCTATATAAAATTATCAAATACGTATATTTTACTTTGTTTCAGCATTATTTCAATTACCAAAAAATTACCATTTTAATAGTTTAGTTTTAGTTAACAACAACAACACTGTTCCACAGATCTATATGGTGTCCTGTTTGTCATTTGTGACCCTGGACCACAAAACCAGTCATAAGGTTATATTTTTTGAAATGTAGATTTTTACATCACCTGAAATCTGAATAAATAAGCTTTCCATTGATGTATGGTTTGTTAGGATGGGACAATATTTGACCGAGATACAACTATTTGAAAATCTGGAATCTGAGGGTGCAAAAAAAATCTAAATATTGAGAAAATCGCCTTTAAATTTGTCCAAATGGCGTTCTTAGCAATGCATATTACTAATCAAAAATGAAGTTTTGATATATTTACAATTGGAAATTTACAAAATATCTTCATAGAACATGATCTTTACTTAATATCCTAAAGATTTTTTGCATTAAAGAAAAATTGAACATTTTGACCCATACAATGTATTGTTGCCTATTGTTACAAATATACTTGTGCTACTTATGACTGGTTTTGTGCTCCAGGGTCACATTTTATGATTCAGAAGGCCTGCTGTGCGCCCTATTAATGGTACACATTTCATTAAGGCTGTGAGAAGGACCGCGAGCACTGAGGGCAGCATTTGGCACAGTACCCTAAAAACAAAAATAAAAACCCATGTGTCATAACATCATTGTGTTGTTTGTAATCAGGCAAGCTGGCCATCAGGACCTGGCAGACAGACTGGTGGAAGTACAGTATGAGCTCACAGACAGGCTGGCCTTCTATCTCTGTGGGCGGAAGCCTGGTGAGTCCGAGCGCAGAGCGATGGTGTGCTATCATGATGAGAAACATTTTGATATCCAGCTGTAGATGCTGATGAAGCCAGTTTATAGCACACTCTTACTTTAGTGGGTTATGGCCTTCAGAGCGCCAGATGGCTCAGTAAAATAGCGCAGTGAGTTTATTGCTTTAGTGTGCATCTTTATCAGTGGATTGTCAATTGAAAATGTTAAACCATGTCAGTATGTCAATAATGTCAATACATTCTGATTTTCAGACCACAAGAATGGACAGCATTTCATTATACCGCAGATGGCGGATAGGTAGTAACAATCTAATGCATTCTGATGTTTTCCTGTGTGATCTGGTGCCATTTTTATAGAAGTTTCTTCTATAGGAGTATTTTGGGATGTGCTTAGTCTTGTTTTGCTTATTGAATTAGTGCCAAGGCATCAAATATAGTTCTGTCTATTACAGATAAAAGTCTGTCTAATTGTCAGATAGAACTATTAAAGGATAAAGGTATACAATAAAGAATTATATCGATTGCTTTATATTATTAGTAATAGAAAGGCAAACATTATAATAATTGATTTACTTTATTTATTGTGATGGATGACGGCTTTATATCGGCCACCCTGCTCTCTAAGATATCGGCATCGGCTGTCAGAAAACAATATCGGCCGACCACTATATTGAATAATACTGATCGCATCCCAGAATACTTCCCAGGTGGAGATATTGATCCAAACAGGTTTTTAAGATTCACATAATTGAACATTAATATCTTGCTATTTCTTTTTTTGCTGTCTTTGATGAAAAAGAAATGTGTAAGTATTTTACATGGAGAATGGCAATTGAAAATTAAATTTCACGTTTATTTTTGGCCATTACAGTCTTTTATAATAATGCTATTTAATAGTCAAAGAAAACTAATATTATTCACCATTTTATTCCCTTTTATAGCAGTCTGGAGTTAACGGAGTTTGCAAAAGCTGCAAAAAGAAAACTGCAGTCTGTGAGTCCTCTTTATATTTATTTTATTTTACTTTTACTTTAAGTAATACATCAGGCCCTCCAAATAATTTTTTTTTACATCTTGTTTGGTAGCAAAATAATAAACTCATGCTTTATTGTGTTAAGTTGATATGTTAAGCGGAATATTGAATTAAATTGTCTTTTCTAAAATGTGGTCACATAGCAATGACTGTGTTTCAGGTTTATCTGTTGAAATGTTGTCACCCTAATTGAAAACAATCTATTACAATCTACAAAATTAATACAATCTGCAACCAAAATTCAAAACCATATCCTTATTTAGTACCAGATAAATGCTACTGTGATTGCAGAGATAAACAATGCCATTTGTTAAATGCATCTGAAGATTATTACTTTAAACAGCTATATTTTGCTAGTAGATTCTAGTGTAGGTATACTTTGAAAAAACAAAACAAACAAACTTGGCTTTAACTACTGTAGCTTGTTACTTGGAAAGCTAACACTGCTAAGCACAGAGGAAACCGTCGGGCTTCTCTGAAGCAGATGGCCTTTAAGTGTCGCAACAGCCCCAAAACCGTTATCTGCCAGTCATTAATACAAAAGACTGCATCTTATTTGCTCCAGACATGCCTTTATACAGTTTTACAACCATTGAGGGCACAGATGACTGATGCAACTCTGCCAATATCGTTGCAGCTCAGTGATCATTTGTTTGAGGAACTGGCGATGGATGTGTACGATGAAGTGGATCGAAGAGAGACAGATGCAGGTGAGATGATCTGCATTTGATAAACACAATGGAAAGAACTGACTCAGGAAATGTACGTTATACGAGTGCAAACTTTGATGAGCACTTTCTTTGTATCTGGTGCAGTTTGGCTGGCCACTCAGAACCACAGCACCTTGGTAACGGAGACAACAGTTGTACCTTTCCTTCCTGTAAACCCAGAGTACTCATCAACACGAAACCAGGCAAGTTCTGAACAGAAAGTTGCTATGCTTTCACTAAAGTCTTTTTACCAGGAAATAAAGATATTGCACTTTGACATGTGACAGTTTATAACACCTTTTATGCAGTGTTTGCAGCTAGAAGTGCAACAAGCAGAAATGTGCCAGACGAACGTGGAAACAGATGTCACAAAATTAATAAAAAAGGAAATGGCATCAAAACTGTTATGCACTGAAGCTTAGAACCAAACTACAAATGATATATTTGCATATAATGTATTATTTAATTTTTTTTGAGAAGTTGTGTCTTTTAACACACTGACATCTAACTAGGAAAGCTGTGATTTTGTAATAAACTGTCCACTTTCAACAATAAAATTAAAGAACATTACTATAAATGTACTTTAGTAGTTTCTACATGCAGGTGGGCATCTTTGTCCATTGCTATTTTAAGGCATATTCAAGAAATAGTTCTCCCAAAAATGAACAATTGCTGAAAATGTCAGAGATTTGGAGAAATTTAGCTTTGCATTACTTGTTCACCAATGGATCCTATGCAGTGTATGGGTGCCGTCAGAATGAGAGTCCAAACAGCTGATAAAAACATCAAATACTCCACAAGTAATCCACTCCAGTCCATCAATTAACGACTTGTGAAGTGAAAAGTTGCGTTTTTGCTTGCTATCATTAAAGGGGTCATTACGTTTCTTATTTTACAAAGAGTTTAAAGGGGTCATATGACATTTCTAAAAAAGAACAATATTTTGTATTTGTTGTAATGAAATGTTTATGCGGTTTAAGGTTCAAAAAACATTATTTTCCACATACTGTATATTATTGTTTCTACTCTATGCTCTGCCTTTCTGAAACGCGTTGATTTTTACAAAGCTCATCGGTCTGAAAATGTCTGCATTTGTGATCGGAGAAATGACAAACAATAAGCGCTACTCTACACTGCTCAAAACTCGCATTTGAATCATCAGTGGTAAATCCTTTAAATCTGAATATTTGGTTTGAACTGTTCTGGAACAGTGTTGTAAATACAACTTAACCACTGATTTCTAGTTGTGTCCTCTTTTGGAAGACCAAACAAAGTAGTTTCGCTTTCACAACGAAACACACAGCTTCTTCACAACATGGCGGCGGCAACAACAATACTACAGCAAGAATAAAAGTTACGCCGCCTTTCTTTGCGTAAACATTTGGGCGGTGTTATGCAAATGTTCCCACACAGTGACGTAGACGTGGGGGCATGTTTAAACGAGGTGTTTTAGGAGGGCGTGGACGAGTCTTAACTTTTAAATGGAATATCTCTTTGGGTTTGAGACTTTAGTCTTTGCAACTTTAGAGATCTTATTTATTCACGAACAGCTTGTAACACTCCAAAGAGAAAGGACAACTTGATATCGCATCATATGACCCCTTTAAGATCTGGACATTTCAGAATGGTTGAAAAGAATCATTTATATGTTAAACTGGAGAGTTAGTTTTGAGTTCTGAAACTTGCAGTATGTTTTTATTGCTTCTTATATGTGTAAATATCAAGAATGTTTCGATTAAACTGGACTGGAGTCGTTTACCTGTTGGATTACTGTAATGTTTGATGGCACCCATTCACTGGTTACCAAGTGATGTAAAGACCAACTAGCTGTTCAGATAATTAATATACAATAAAATCATCACCGAATTTATTTTACAGGGAAGACAAAAGCTGGCAAGGTTTAACGCTCATGAATTTGCCACACTTGTGATTGATATTCTAAGTGATGCAAAGCGACGCCAGCAGGGGAGTTCAGTCTCAAGTCCTAAAGGTACAGCCTGCATTCATTAGTCTTTGATTTCTTTTAAAGTCCTTGTTGATGTTTCATGATTGTTGTGTCTATGACTTCATAGACAATGTTGACGTATTCTTCAAAAGCGTGGGTAGTCGTCATGGAAGTGAAAGCCAGGAAATGGACCAGCCAGACTATGACAGTGTGGCGTCCGATGAGGACACGGACACTGATTTACGAGTGAGCAAAGCAGACAGAGCTAAGGTAGACCTGTAAAGCACGAGGAACTTTGTCATGTGCCATTCTTGCCATCACAGCGTCGATACGCACATGTCGGCTCTCTACTTCTTTTCTCCTCAGAGTCTGGACTCTGATCTGTCCGATGGACCGATTTCTGTGCAGGAGTTTCTGGAGGTGAAAAATGCGCTTTCAGCCTCCGAAGCCAAAATTCAGGAACTGATGAAGACCAACAGTAATCTGAGTGAGGAGCTGAGATTGATGCAGAAAAAGGTACCAGAGATTCAGCCGTGAGCGCTGAAGGCCCTGGTCAAAGCAGCATTTCTGCTCCTAAACCGATCAAGACTGTCTAACCCCTACACCTGCACCTCTTCTCGCACGCGAGGGTGCAAAATTGACAAGGATTATGATTCTTAAAATCCTCTGGAATGCTGATGTCAAAATAATAATGAAGTAACCACTGTAAGTGTTCAGATAACCAGCATGACCTTGGCCTCTAAACCATTGGAAAAGACGTACAGTTTTAGAGACGTGAAACCGAAACATACTGACGGTTTGGCATTCGAATGCAGATGATTAGTTGGCATGCTAACCTCCCTAACCACAAACCTTATTTAGAAGTTGGCTCTTGCATCAGCATGACTCATTTTAATTGGCTGTGTTCTCTATGTATGCGCATAATACATGGGTTTCCAGAATACAAATCAGAATACAATACAAATGATTATGAATTGAATTTTGAGCCTTTACTGTCATTTCGGTGTGAAAATATAATTTACTACAGTACTCTTTCACATTGACAAATCCAAGATGATAAATTATAATTCAGTTGGAGAGAATTTGCTCACATTCACTGAAGTGTTTAATATAGACTTGCATAAATCAACTGTAACTGTTTAGTAATATTTTTAAATGAGGGCAGTCCCTAAATGGCCCTGCATTTAAACAAGTTACAGTTTTGGCCTTTCTGTTACATTTCTCATTTAATTCTAGTCGAAAGTGGTGATTAGTGTACTTCAGAGATTTGGTTATGGATTATTTTGACTGTTCAGTCCTCTCATAAAATAACATGTTACTAGTTTCGTTGTGTTGTTTGGCTTCTTGCTTAAAATGTATTGCGAGTTGAAAGTGGTTTTGGATTACATGTATTCCCCACACAAAATGATGGATACTATTTGAAATGATTGTGATTTGAAAATTTAGACCATTGTGACATTTGTGGGATAAAACTGTGTGACTTTGCATTCGATGCACATCTGACTGGGTAAAAATAGAGATGGCCAGAATCATATTATCATGAGTGACGTCTTTAGGCTCTTTTGTTAGGCTCTGCATTTCCTTTTTGATCCTAGCCAACGTGTCTGCTCGAGCTCTTTGGCTTCTCTCTAAGCTGCAGAGTGAATCTCTGTTTCTCGGTCCCTGTAGATTCTTAGGCATGTCTAACTTGCGCTTGTTCTGTGAGCATGTCTAGACATTGCATCTGCCTGTGCCTGCATGCTAAACTGGACTTTTTGCTGTTGAGAAGTTTGGATTTATTGAGCAACTCCATATAATTGTTTTCTCAAAGTTCCCCATAAGATTAGAATTATTTTTCATCATAATCTTTCTTAATTACAAGAGTTAATTATTTGTATAAGATCTAAATAAATGTCTTGTTTCGTAGAACATTTTCATTTGGTTTTAATATATATAAAAATAGAATTTTTTTTGTTATTTAAATTGAACATTTATTTAAATTTGTAAATGGATTTTAATTACGCCTGCAGTTTCATACAGCAGAAATCCTTTGATATGATGCTAATTAGCATTAATTAGTGCTGTCAAATGATTAATCGCGATTAATCGTTTGACAGCACTAGTATTAATTATATTGATTTCTCATAGTCCAGATTTGAAAGCTATTCCATCAAACTAAATAGTAGAAAATATGATGTAGCTAATTTTTTTTTCCCACTACAATTTTGTAATATTGGATCTCATTCACTAAGAATGTGCATACATACATTTGTGCATAAAATCTGAATAGAAATATTTTCATGAACTAATCATGATTCACAAAAAAAACAAACCACACATACACAAAAATTCACATACTCTGGGTGGCCTTACATTCGTGTTAAGATGAAAATTAATATATAAATATAGTTCATATACAATGGAGCTGTGAGGTTTCTCTGAATAACAACTCTGATATGAATTACGAGAACATTTTTCATGAAAAGTTCTACTGTAATGCACGCAATTATTAGTGAATTTTATTTATAAAATGGAAAAGGCAAAGACTTATTTAATAATTTTTTTTCGTGGCTAATATAAAAATTCTGTAGGCCTGCAGCGGCCCTGCAGTTTTTGAACTGAACATCATTTATTTCTTAACCGACAGTTTTTCCTGTAAGCTCGGCTTTGCTACAGTTTCTGCTTTTCTGTGCGTTTCTCTGGCTTACTCGTGTTTCTCTTCAGCTGCAGTCTCTGCAAAGCGAGAACAGCTCTCTCAGGCGGCAGGTGTCCACTCAACAGCCCTATCAGGCCCCCGGCGGCCCTGACCACCCCAATCCCTCCAGCCCCTCCTCCTCTTCCTCCTCCTCTGCCCTGAAACGCCACCTGTCTGCACGGGCGAGCCGCCCCATGTCTATGTATGAAACCGGCTCTGGTCTGAAGCCCTTTCTCCCCAAGGGAGAGACCCCTTATCCTGAGGAGACCTTCCCCACCCTGCAACCCTTCCCAACCTATGTAAGTAAAAACCTGCCTCTCGCCTTCTCTCCTTCTTTTTCTTCACCTTGCTTTTCAAATGTTGCAGCATGCGGATGGTACGTTTCCAATTCTCTGCGCTTTATGAGAGTTTCCAAAATACACGTTTTGGACTACTCCACGTATTACTTCACTTTGCATCCTGTTAACTCGCATAGCAGCTATTTCACCATATTTTCTGTTTCCTGGTTTAGTTTCATGTGTCAGTTGGGAGTTACAAAACATGTCTTTATGGCCAACTCAATGCATAAGTCACACAGTCTCATTCTCATTGCTTTATGTAACTTGGTTTGTACATAGAGTTTTGATTTTTTTCATTTCAAGCTCTAAGGAAAAGGTGCACTAAGCAATTTTATGACAGTATGACCGACGATAATGTACCAGGGTTTACTGAGAAAAAGTGAGTAATTGAATATGCTTCAAGTCAGTGTACATCATTTTAAACGTATTTTAAGTATTAACATTTTTTTTGGGATACAACATTTTCACAGTGGAAAAAGTTACTTTAAAAAAAATTTTTTTGTTTGTTTTAAACCATAAAAATATCTTTTGTACATGTCACGGTTACTCTAGCTCACAAAATTCAGTATCATCTTGATGTAACATGCCCAGTATTTTATTTCAGTTGTCTTTTTACAGTGTAAGTTCCTATTTCATTTCCTTCATTTTTTTTACTGACCTTTTGAGTGTTGATATTAAAAATGTTTTAACCCTATGGCTTTGCATCGCTTTTACTGAAGTTGAATGATACTGATTATTTTCCAATGCATGTAAATGTTGCAGCTATTCAAACTTTATTCATCAGTCATTATTATTTAACATTGGATTTGTGCTGGGTTCTATAAAACTATTGCTTCATGATTGTTCATAATGCATAGCTAATATTAGTTTATAATGTTAATAATGTATTGGTATACACTACCAGTCAGAAGTTTGGGGTCAGTAATATTATTATGATTTTTTAAAAAGAAATGAATGCTTAATAGTGATTATTAATATTAATAATTATTAATAATATTGATAAAGATGCATTAAATTGATCAAATTAGACAATACATTTATTTTTAATGTTACAAAAAAAATGTCCTTTCTAATAAATGCTGTTCTTTTTCACTTTCTGTTCATCATTGAATATTGAAAACAAATGTATCGTGGTTTCCACAAAAATATTAAGCATAACAACTGATTTCAACATATAGTTGAACATATAATAATATATGTTTCTTGAGCAGAAAATCAGCATATAAGAATCATTTCTGAAGGATCTTGTGGCTGCTGAAAATTCAGCTTTGCCATCACAGGAATAAAATGCATTACACAATTGTATTCTAGGAGAAAACAGTTATTTTCAATTGTAATAATATTTCACAATGTTACTATTTTACTGCATTTTTGATCAAATAAATGCAGCCTTGGTGAACATAAGACATCTCTTTCAAAAACGTTAAAAACTCTTGCCAACCCCAAACTTTTAAACTTGCGTGTGTATGAATTAATATGAACTTAGATCATTGTAAGTTTAAGTTTCTACATTAATGGTAAATAATTGAACCTTATTGTAAAGTGTTACCAAATTATTACTATTGACTGACTGACTATTTTGTTAGATTGTTACTGTTGACAACATCATGCCATCTTACAGAAGTCAAAATTACTCTATCACCTTGTTCTCCAGCCCAGGCTCTCCATTATGGCGAAGTATTAAAAAATATTTTGCATTTTTTTCCTCTTTCATTCTTAAGTTTTATTTGCACCCCTTTTTAGATGGGAAAGGGTGTGTATGTGGCCACCTCCTCTTCCCTCCCCTTCGTCCCCTCCTCATCCTCTCCATATTGTTAGCGGGATGAGAGTACACAAAGGGTTAAGTACGTTCCTCACTGGACCAGACGGAAGCAGCCGGAACCCTTCACATCCTCTCCACCCTCCTTCACAAACTCCTCCTCAACTCCCATCCATCCCTTTCCTCTTACACCTGTTGTGCTCCACGCATCTCCATGCATGAACGGCCCCTCCACCAACCCTCCGGGGGCTGCTGTTTTCAACTGATACATATTTCTGTTTTCATCATCATCACCATCATCCTCATAGATAGCACATGCATTTCATGGCTTGTGTCTTCATTCCCAGGGTGCACTGCTCAGGGCTTGTCTACTGCTGCTGCTCACACATCTGTTCAGGATGTCTTGTAAAGCTACATGCTCTGCATGCAATTGTGAAATTAATATGTAAATGAGCTGGATAAGCTTGTTTACGTGTGTGTGTGTGTGCGCGCGCATGCAAATTGCAGTTATTTTTAAATTGGTGTTTCTGTTGTCACTGAGTGTGTTTGTGCATTTTGGGTCCTGTTTATGGGTGTTTAGCACTTTTCACAAAAAGAGCCACGTTTTATCTGTAAATATTTAGTGTGAAAATGATTTTTTTAATGCATCGATCTGACAGTTTAAGTCAATTAATCAGTCAGTTTATTTCTTTTTTAAAATTGTTTTTGAATACACTATACCATTCAACTACCGTTCAAAAGTTTGGGATTGGTCTTTTTTTTTTTTTTTTTAAGTCTCTTATGCTCACTAAGGCTATCTATTTGATCACAAATGCTGTAATATTGTGAAATATTACCGCTGGATATTTATGGTTGGTGGAGGGGCCGTTCATGCATGGAGATGCGTGGAGCACAACTGGTGGATATTGTTAATATATATATTAAATATCACAATATTATATATTGTGGATATATATTAATATATATTGTTGCTGTAGTTTTGACTGCTTTTATTGTCCTCATTTGTAAGTCACTTTGGATAAAAGCGTCTGCTAAATGTAAATGTAAATATTACAATACAAAAGTATTTTCTATTTTAATATGTAATTTTTTTTCTGTGAGGCTAAGCTGGATTTTCAGCATCATTATTGTCACGTGATCCTTCAGAAATAATTCTAATATGCTGATTTGCTGCTCAAGAAATATAATAATAATAATGTCTTATTATTATTGTTGGAAGCATTTGAGCTCAATATTTTTGTGGACACTGATGCATTTGTTTTTTTCAGGATTCTTTGATTAATCGGAATTTCAAAAGATCGGCATTCATTTGAAATCGAAACCTTCTAACATTAGAAATGTCTGTACAGTCACTTTTGATCAATTTAATGCATCCCTGCTAAACAGGTAAAATCATATTGACCCCAAACGTTTGAACAGTAGTGTATATCCTCACTTGAAGACATTTGAGAATCGGGATTTTTAGAGCTGAGAATGCTCATAAGAATAGAATCTACAGTTCAATACACTGGGCATTAATATAATCGATTATTAAATTGTACAGATTTTTTTGTTTTTTTTGTTAGATCATTACATCACAAAGCATTGGTGCATTTTTACATCCCTACAAGGAGATGTGTTTAGAGCAGATGCATAAGAGTGTGTTGAGTGGAACATTCATTTGATTATTCCACATCATATGGCGGTTCTCCAAGCATCATGACCGGTGCTGCCCTGATAACAAACTGATACAATACTCGGTTAATATTCCAGCTCAGAGCGCTGCTGGCATCTGACCCCATTACCTTATTATCCTTGAGCACAGTGAATCATGCTTCAGTGAGACTGTCAAATATCTTTACTGTAGATGCTTTACTGCACTGTGAAGGAAAACACTGATCAGAGCCATGACCTACATTCAGTTGTAACCCTGAGTTTAACCCCTAAGGACACACAAGTTGTTTAACAGCTAATTTACTTGAGTTTTTGCATCCACTGGTCATAGCTTCAAAACAAAGATGACCCATCCACTGGACTTAAAAGTACATTCAAGGAATGGTACACACTGTTTTAAAAGTTTGGGCTTGGTAAGATTTTAGAAGCAGCTATTACGATGTTTTGGCGATTTCTGTTTAAAAATATTTCAAATGTAATCTATTCCTGTGATGGCAAAACTGAATTTTCAGCATCATTACTCCAGTCCTCAGTTTCACATGATCCTTCAGAAATCATTCTAATATGTGACCCTGGAGCACAAAAGCAGTCTTAAGTCGCTGGGGTATTATTTGTAGCAATAGCCAAAAGTGCATTGTATGGGTCAAAATTATAGATTTTTCTTTTATGCCAAAAAATCATTAGGATATTAAGTAAAGATCATGTTCCATGAAGATATTTTGTCAATTGCCTACCGTAAATATATCAAAACTTCATTTTTGATTAGTAATATGCATTGCTAATAACTTAATTTGGACAACTTTAAAGGCGATTTTCTCAATGTTTAGATTTTTTTGCACACTCAGATTCCAGATTTTCAAATAGTTGTATCTCGGCCAAATATTGTTCTATCCTAACAAACCATACATCAATGGAAAGCTTATTTATTCAGCTTTCAGATGACGTATACGTCTCAATTTGGAAAAATTGATCTTTATGACTGGTTTTGTGGTCCAGGGTCACATACACTGTAAAAAAAAATGACCGTGAATTTAACGGTAAAAGACTGTAAAAATGCTACAGTGCAGATTTTTGAATTTAATAATTATTTTTATTTCATATGAACTACCAGACATACTGATCATCGCCGATTTCATTGCGTGCCACCTGTTCTTTTACTGTATCCTCTCCTGTCTCTTCAGGCCTCCAAATTTGACAAGCAGAGCAGTGTGTCTGATGGTGACTATGACAACACGGTTAACGAATCTGATCTGGATGACTCTGGGTATGTGTCCCAGTTTCCTTTTTATGACCTGAAATAACTCGTGTCTCAAATCCTGCTGGCAAACAAAACCAGCCTTTTTTCCCTCTGAAGATAAGAGCTGCCAGTCATCTGCTTTTAGCCAAGTAAAGTGAGGAAACACACTAATGATGCTCATTATTACGTCCTCCCTCCTGGCAGCTTTGGCCGAAGATGTCGTCTGCGCAGCAGCGGCTGGATGGGAGAGAGCGGCTCTATACCTGAGCTGGATGATCACGAGAGTGAGCCTGACCCCAGTCTGCCCAGCACTGACGACGTCATCCGTAAAACCGAGCAGATCACCAAGAACATCCAGGAACTGCTGAGGGCTGCGCAGGAGAACAAGCATGAGAGGTGAGAGGACGTCAATGTCGGCATCTCCCATCTCCTATTTCTTCCATCATCATATATGGCAGCAAAAAATCTGATGTCATTTAATTCCCTTCTTCCTTTTGTTAACTTTGTTAAAATGTATTTAACAATTTCACATGTTAATTGTTGGCACATTTCATGAGTAGGTTACAAATTAAGGGATAGTCCACCAAACAGTTGTAAGTCAATGGGACAAAAGTTACAATGAAGCGAAACTGTTTGGTCACCAACATTTTTTAAAAATATCTTCTATGATGTTCTGTAAAAGAAATAGTCATACAGGGTTTGGAATGACATGAAGGTGATCAGAGAATTTACATTTTTTTGGTGGACTATGCCTTTAAATCATTAGAGACCAATCAATGTTTTTAGAAATCAATGTTTTTAGGTGTGAGAATTTTTTGATATTTCAGATGAAATTTAACATAATACCAATACATACATATATATATATATATATATATATATGTAAATATTTTATATATTTTTATTCTTGTTTTCAATTTATTAAAAATGACAATCTAACACTACCATTCTCTATTCTTTTTATATTCTATCTATTTGATTTCTTTTTATTTATTACAAAAAAAATGACCCTCTTATACTAGCACTATCTATTCTTTTGACTTTTCTTTTTATTTAATAAAAAAAATTGACCCTCTAACACTAGCGTTCTCTATTCGTTTTCTATTCTATCTACATGTTTTCTTTTTAGTTATTATTTTTAAAAAAACTTGCTATGTTAACTGGGACTTATGTATTGTTGCTCTTTTGTTGGTTTGAATGCTTCTTTTGTCCTCATTTGTAAGTCGCTTTGGATAAAAGCGTCTGCTAAATGACTAAATGTAAATTTAACGTTCAACATGCATTCACTATAAATTCACTGTCCTTGCTAAATAAAGTTTTAAATTCTTTTTAAAAAGTCTTACTGACCCCAAACGTTTGAACGGTATATATCTGCGGATACAAGTGAGGCTTTTTGTACCCTATTCATGGAAAGTGCCTGTTTATGCAAATCACTTCTTTCCCAACCGTTGAATCAGTTCCTCCATTCATAGCTTTTCCGTTTTCTGTCTGCTCTCAATTGTCCGTGTTCATCATTTGGGGTCTGTCCTGTCGGGGGCCACGCTCTGTTTGGGTCCCGATCTGTCTGTTTCCCCACCAGTGCACCATGTGAGCAGAGGGAGAGTGTCCGCAGACTTAGACACAGTCTGGGTTGTTTCAGCACTCTGGTGCCTTGGGCAGACAAGCCCCCGTCTCCCATGCAGTCCCTCGGCCTAAGAGCTCCCCACCCAGCCAACCCCAACAACCCTGCCTCCTGGTACTCCGGCCTCTGTCCCTGCCTCACAGGCACAGTGTCTATCTCTACCTCTCTCTTCATAACCTCATAACCCACTAATCTGAACATGAATGGAATAGGCATGATTACTACTATGCTGAAGGCTCGTGTCAGTTTGCATAGTCTTCTAAACCTCACATTTATTTGCAGGAACTCACGTTGGTGCACTTGGTTTCTCTTTTAGGAAAAGGCTTTGTACTGACATCCATCTAACTTTTGGCCTGTCTGTTTTGCGCTGGTTTGTATTTCATTGCAAAATAAGCTGAGTTATTTTAAAGGTATTTCTCAGTTTGATTAAATTATTTTACAAGATGTTTTACCCTCTTAAAAATGTATTAGCACTGGGGATGCATCATGTCTGCTGCACAACTAACCTTTCAAACAGATCTGCATGTTTTTTTTTTGTGTGTGTGGATTTTTGCACAGAAATTATAACACTTACAGCATTTACTGCAACACTTGTAAATAAATCAAGGCAAATGTATTCCACACATTTTCTTAATATATCTGTAATTTTTCGGCGAACTGTGATATGTCTGAGTGGGATAAAAATCACTACTATTCGACAAATGGTATTTTTTTTTATCTGTATACAGTACAATATTATGGACAAATTGTATTTTCCATGATAGTGTAAATGTCCAGCTTTAAGGCCCATTCACACCAAGAACAATAACTATAGCGATAACTATATTAGAATCTATATTAGAACTATATTAGTGTGTGCTGTAGTTTTTTTATCTGCTACTTTAAATGCTCAAGCTTCTTAAAGCATTTCTGATTGGCCGTCAGTGGTTTTATCATTCATCAGCTAAAAAATTGAGTGAAAAAAAAAAATTGGTGTGAACAGGCCTTTAAAGCTTTACCTTCTGATTGCTCTGTTTATCTTCACTTTTCACTCTTCAAACTCTGATGTCTTTTTAATACAGTATCTATCATTTTCTCCTTCAATAGCTTTATACCCTGCGCAGAAAGAATACATGTGGCTGTGAATGAAATGGCTGCCCTGTTCCCCAAGGTGTGCACTTTCTCTCCACACTTCATAAATGCAATCAAAAAAATCTGAATAATAACTTAATTATTTATTTAAATAATGTTTATTTTAATTTTATGTTTCACTAAAATATTTTTGTGTGTTTAAGTCTGGCTTAAAGGAATAGTTCACCCAAAAATGAAAATTCTGTCATTAATTACTCAGCCTCATGTCGTTCCAAACCCGTAAGACCTTCGTTCATCTTCGGAACACAAGTTAAGATATTTTTGATGAAATCCGAGAGCTTTCTGACCCTCCCATAGACAGCAACGCAACTACCACGTTCAAGACCCAGAAAGGTAGTAAGGACATCGTTAAAATAGTCCATGTGACATCAGTGCTTCAACCTTAATGTTATGAAGCTACGAGAATACTTTTTGTGCACCAAGAAAACAAAAATAAACTACTTTATTCGTCAATTTCTTCTCTTCTGTGTTAGACTTCGACGCACATTCACGAGTCCCACGATGCATGCGTGTGGTGCTGCTGACGCAGGATCCGGCATTCTGACGTAGAACCCGGATGCGCTATGGATTGTTTGCAAAGAGAGGAATGCACACGCATACGCCGTGATACTCTCGTGTATTTTAAAGGCTATTTTAGTGATGTCCTTACTACCTTTCTGGGCCTTGAACGTGGTAGTTACCTTGCTGTCTATGGAGGGTCAGAAAGCTCTCGGATTTCATCAAAAAATATCTTAATTTGTGTTCCAAAGATGAACGAAGGTCTTACGGGTTAGGAACGACATGAGGGTGAGTAATCAATTAGAGAATTTTCAGTTTTGGGTGAACTATCCCTTTAAGTGTCCAAAATACTTTCATGGCGCCATATGGACTAGTAAGCCAAGTTATGAACCACTATAACAATGATACTTTTGATTAAATATTATTTGTAAATTATCTATATATATTCTTATTTAAATAAGCTGATTTAAAATTTTTATAATTTTATATATATTTTATCACTCAATTTTTTTTATACATTTATGTGTCCAAATACCTTCGTGTAGTAGTTACCCAAGTATAATTATGCTGAACTATAAAATAGTCTTTCAAGTATTTTGTGTATATTTAGTTTCTGTATTTTCTCCTTTCCCAGAGACCACGCTCTGAGACGGTGAGGAGCTCTTTGCGATCGTTAACGTCCAGCGCAAACCGGCTGCAGAGTGAGTGTAAGAAAGCGCCTCCTCTGGAGAGCAGCCCTGCAGCCGATGTGCAGTTGGTCACCCAGCAGGTCATCCAGTGCGCTTATGACATCGCCAAGGCTGCGAAGCAACTTGTTACCATAACCACCAAAGAGAACAACAACTGATCCTGCTTCCACCCATTTCCACCTGTAATGCAACCCTGGTATTATTTTATCAGTAATTATTAGGTATGTCACATGAGTTTTAATTTTTTTTTATCTAAGGTGTATTTGCATGTTTTTATTTTTAATTTAATGTGTCTGTTGTCAGTGTTGTTTGGTTTGAAGCCATAAGTTAAAGCCTGAAATGCTCTCAAGGGTTGTGTAAGGATGTGTATATGTGTGGACCTGTGAAAGTGTATTTGACTAGATGGCAGTTGAGATGCTGTGGATTGAGAAGGATTTGAGCAGAAATGAATCAGCAATAGAGCAGCCAATCACGTACTAAATATTCAGTAAATGCCTGACTCTTTGCACTATTCTGAAAACTTTGACTGCTTTTACCTCTTCATATTCAAACATTATTATTTTTTTTGTGGTTGTCTGTGTTGTTTTTGAATTATGTTAAAATCGAGCTTTTTTCAATAATCTCAGTTAAATATATAATGTATAATAAATAAAATCTATTGTACAAAACATTCAGTTAATGAGGTCAGGTAGGCCTAGTTTAGGTACAGATACAATAAACTTGTAATTATAAAGATGTCAAATTAAGTATGAATTAAAAAAGATTATTTCATTTCATGCCCAAGGTAAATGCCTTTTTCTCGGTTAGATAAATAAGGTGGCTATAATTCAGATTTACAGTGTGCATTAGGGGTCGACCAATTATCGCCGTTGATATTAAGCAATTTTATGGTTATCGGTATCGGGTCATTTTCAAAACTGATTTGCCGATAAAATTATTTAAAAGCATTTAAAGAGAGTTTTTGTCAGAGCCCTTATTATTCTTCATTTTGACATTTTAATTTTTACACCAGACATATTGGTTCAAAATATTGGTTATCTGTCTACTTGATCTGTAATAATAGATATCGGCATCAGCCCTGAAAATCGGTCGACGTCTAGTGTGCATTAAAAAAATAAATAAATAATTAAAGTGAGGAAATGTTAATTAACCTTAACCTCATATTTCATCAGTTATTTGGAGGTCAAAGTACAGTATTTAATTACATTTTCTTTTTTATACACTGCAGACGAACAATCTCCACCAGCAGATACTGATACTGTGTTTGTGATGGTTTAGATGTGTTTTTTTTTTTAGATAGTTCCTCATATTGTACATTCAGTTCAGTGTTTTGGGCAGCTCTTAACTTCGCAGATCTTTTTATTTCCTCTCTAAGTATTTTAGTCTAGCCTGATCAGGTTAGTCTTAGCAAACAGTTTGTGCAGTGGACTGGTAGCTCAGTGTTATCAGAGCTGCAGCTCAGTGTTAAAATTCCCCTTGTTTGAGTGTTTGTAGTTGTTTAGATGAACTGGCCTTCCACTCATTGATATTATTGCTATGCCTGTGGTTAAGATGAAAATGTGTTTATTTTTTAAATAAACTTTAATTTATAATTTTGAGCTTCAATTGTTGCTCTAGTGTTTTTGTTAATATCAGAAACTGAGCCATATGAATAAAGTGAAAAATAAAAGACCTAAACCTCATCCCAAATTATTTCTACGTCTGCTTGTTTTTTTATGTTCATGTTTTTAAAACATTTTGTATGCCAAAATGCATTCTCTTAACTAGGGGTGGGCGATATACCGGTAGAAATTTGTCAACCGGTAGAGATTTTGGCCTATAGTCTCCATCGCGGTTATTCGCTCACGTGACGTTGCTGTGCTACGTGGTCACGAAAACTTTTGTTTGCACGCGCTTTTAAGCATTGCGGTTTAAAAACAAGTGATTTTAAGCCATTGAAACGCAATCAGCAGCGAAAGAAAACTGAAGAGAGGCAGGTGCTCATACAGCGCAGGAGTATTGAACAGAGTTATTTTTTGCTGCTTTATAGGCTTTAACCGGTTAAATACACACACTTGTGTCAAAATGCCCATCTTTTTAAGTATCTTTGCAGTACAGTAATTTAGGTCTTAAGTGAAAACAAACAGCTGAGAAAGAAAGCATATGCAACAGCATATTGGATCCAAATCATTAAGACCTTATTTAAAGCAAAAATAACTATATTGTGATATATATTGTTACCGTGAAATAAAATTACTATATCGTGATATACGATTTTGGTCATATCGCCCACCCCTACCAAGTTTATTGTTAATTACTATAAGTATGTCATGCATGTGTTTATCTTACCCAAAATTTTAAACATTGAGCCTTCCAAGCACTATCAAAACATTAAAGCAGGTCCACTCTGATCCGTCAATCTCTAGCCAGTTCAATTCTCCACTAGAGGTGTTTAGCTGGTGAGGCAATATGGCTGACATGTTACATGGGAGAAGAAATTCAGATTTGGTTACAGAAGTGCAAACCAAAATATTTGTGGATTATTGTGATGTTTTTATTTGTTTATTTATTTTTGTTTGGACTCTCATTCTGACGGCACCCATTCACTGCAGAGGAGCCATTGCTGAACAAATCATGTAAAGTTTCTCCAAATCTGTTCCGATGAAGCACTATATATATCTATCTATATATGTTTATCTATCTATATATATATTTTAGATGGCCTGAGGGGGAGTACAAATTTTCATTTTTAGGTGCACTATTCCTTTAACTATGATATAATTAGCATACCTACTGGCATTTTTAATCTTAAAACTGATACGCACTATAACTGTTAAACACTATAAAAATGTTTTTAAACTCCAAAGCGACGTGTCAGTCAAGAACACAAATGTAAACATAATTTAAAAATCTCACTATAGTCAAGTGTTAATTATAATAGAAATCTACTCATCGCATCTCTTTCTTGTATTGGTGACTGGGTGTTCCTTTTTTCATATTTATATTACTGCTTGCACACATTGCTGTCCAGTTTAAATTCTTAATTATAAATAAATGAAGTAAACAATAGATAACATTTTCTTTATTGAAAAACTTGTCAGCATTGAAATTCATCTATACAAATCAGTCAACACATAAAAACAGACCTACATGCAAACCTCAGCACTAGTGCAATGGAAATTTAAGATCGAGAACTTACCTATACAATCATTTATCAAAGCCATAATGTAAATCATTAACATATGGAGATGAAGCTCCTCCTCCTGCTGTCTAAGCTCCTTCCTCTCTTGTAGTTCTTCTTGCTCTTGTCGTCGTTGCTCCTCCCACTGTTCCCTGCGCCTCTGCTCCACCTGTTGGACAAATACATCAACTGAAGACATCTAGAAGCCATACTTTATACCCCAAGTAAATCTACTAGGTAGTGTTTCTCTGTACAGACCTGTGCACTGATCTCCTGCATGCGAGTGGTGCGGGCTCCCTCCTGCTGCTCCCTCTCCTGCCGTCGGGTGAGTCTCTCTTGCTCCAGCTGCTGGATGAGCTCTTCTCTCCTCTGCAGAGACTCGTCCCTTGCCAGCCTGTTCTCCTTCATTCGTTCCTCCAGCTGCTGCTGACGTCCTGTCAGGACCTAGCAAACATTGATTCAAAATATATCAAAGCATCCAAACGCACTCTTAACTGTCAGCTATTTAACTACATTTCTTAAAAATGTACACAGTATTAATTACATGACGATTACATAAGTGTCAGAAGATTCATCTTTCGAATAAATGCTGTTCTTTTGAACATTCTACTGATCAAAATTCTGAAAAAAAAGTATCATGGTTTCCACAAAAATATTGAGCACAACTGTTTTGAACACTGATAATAAGAAGAAATGTTTCTTTATCATGAGGTGCACTGTCTCACCTCCCGCATGAGTCTCTCTCTGGCTCTCCTCTCCTTCTCCCAAACACGCTGAGCTTCCTCCCTGCAGGCGGCAAACAAAAACAGAGTATGAAATTGACTTCCAGTTCCAAACACATTTTAAGTTCTTAGCAAACATGCTGACTGTACTCACCGATATAAAACATCAAACTCTGCCTCCCTCTCCCTCTCCAGCTGGAGCTGCTCCTCTATGACTCTCTTCATCCAGGCGGCGTCAGTGACGGCCCTCTCTCTCCTGGCTTTCTCCAGTCTCTGCTCCTCCACTTCTCCCTCCAGCAGTGCTGCCAGGATCTTGCGGTCTGCTATTGCAGTCACTCAGTCAGGACAAATTCTATTCAGCTTTAGGGCAAAACTTCAGTTTTCGTGGTAACCCACCAGTCCTCCTGCACCTGCTGTGCTCTCCTTTTCAGCTGAGCACAGTATTGACGAGTCAGGAAATGCCTGCGGAGGCAGAGAACAGTGGCTTTAGGCTACTGCAGAACAGTTTAAATTTAGTACTGTTTACATACTATTGTATTCTTATTCACATTTGAAATTAACTTTTATAGTTTTAGTTTTCATTTTAGTTACATTTTGTTATGTGCTTTTGTCATTTTTTTTAATCGTTTTATTTCTTTTTTTTAAATATCAGTTTACATTTTTTTTTATATATATATTTTTTTATATTTATTTTTGTACTTTTTATTTCAGCTAGGAGCCAAGGTGACATATAATTTTTATTTAGTTGTTTTTCATCTATTATTTATATTGTATTTCAGATTTATTTAAATTAACATACATTTTTAATAGCTGGTTTTAGTTAACTTTTTTTTCCCGAAATATTTTACCCAAATTCAGTTTTCCTCCTGCTTTCCTCCATCCTCTTCCTCTCATCCTCTAGCTTCTCAAGCTCCCAGCATTGAGACATTAGAGCTTCCTGTTCCTGCTTAAGATGCTCAGCCTGGAAAAAGAAAGAAATGAAATGCAAGCCTTACATTTGTTGCATCTATAGACCTTGAAAAGGTTCGTTTTCTTGAAACAAAATAAATAAAAATGAAAAAAAAAACAAAAAAACAATATACACATTAACAAACACACAGAGTTGAGTTTACTTGATCTTTATGGCATTTGTTTTTTGTCACATGGTTGTTGTTTGTGCATTACAAGTATAAGTCTATTTTACAGTAATTCCATACTTCCTGTTCCCGTAGCTGGAGCTCCTCCATCTGTTTACGGAGGTCTTCAGCTCGCTTCTTTTCCTCTTGTCTTCACTTCTCCTCTTCTTCTTTCATTCTCTCCAGAGCCTCCCGTCTTGTCCTCTCATACTCATTCTCAAAACGCTGTTTCTCCTCCCGAGTTCTCTCATCAGCCTGAACGTTACAGAACAGTTACATTTCAATGCGATAACATGAAAGAACATCGGCCGTGTTAAACTAAAAAGAAGTCAATTTCTAAAAAAAAAAAAAAAGGAAATGTCCTTCTTCTCCAAGGACGCAGCTACTGTCATTCTAACACAAAACTCAAGATGTTAATGTTAAATGCCGCTCATCTGGGCAGCGCTCATGCATGAGCCAACATGGCAGCACTGGCATTAAACACCTCCTGTGAACGTCTCACCTGTTTTCTCTCCTGCTGTTGAACCTGCCACTGGCTCACAACGTGATCTTTGCACAACTCTGTCTCCACCTGTACGCACAAACATTTGAGACACTGAGATGTCGGATTAAACAACGCTCCAGAAGTGCTTGCGTGTGTTCGGAACCAAATCCCGAGCTCAGAGTTACAAATCAGTCATGGAAGAAGTGACGTGACGTGACGTGACATGTGGCCAAGTATGGTGACCCATACTCGGAATTAGTGCTCTGCATTTATCCCATCCAAAGTGCACACACACAGCAGTGAACACACACACACCGTGAACACACACCCGGAGCAGTGGGCAGCCATTTTTTTGCTGCGGCGCCCGGGGAGCAGTTGGGGGTTCGGTGCCTTGCTCAAGGGCACCTCAGTCGTGGTATTGAAGGTGGAAGAGAGCGCTGTA